CCCCCCCCCCCCCCCCCCCCCCCCCCCCCCCCCCCCCCCCCCCCCCCCCCCCCCCCCCCCCCCCCCCCCCCCCCCCCCCCCCCCCCCCCCCCCCCCCCCCCCCCCCCCCCCCCCCCCCCCCCCCCCCCCCCCCCCCCCCCCCCCCCCCCCCCCCCCCCCCCCCCCCCCCCCCCCCCCCCCCCCCCCCCCCCCCCCCCCACCCCCCCCCCCCCCCCCCCCCCCCCCCCCCCCCCCCCCCCCCCCCCCCCCCCCCCCCCCCCCCCCCCCCCCCCCCCCCCCCCCCCCCCCACCCCCCCCCCCCCCCCCCCCCCCCCCACCCCCCCCCCCCCCCCCCCCCCCCCCCCCCCCCCCCCCCCCCCCCCCCCCCCCCCCCCCCCCCCCCCCCCCCCCCCCCCCCCCCCCCCCCCCCCCCCCCCCCCCACCCCCCCCCCCCCCCCCCCCCCCCCCCCCCCCCCCCCCCCCCCCCCCCCCCCCCCCCCCCCCCCCCCCCCCCCCCCCCCCCCCCCCCCCCCCCCCCCCCCCCCCCCCCCCCCCCCCCCCCCCCCCCCCCCCCCCCCCCCCCCCCCCCCCCCCCCCCCCCCCCCCCCCCCCCCCCCCCCCCCCCCCCCCCCCCCACCCCCCCCCCCCCCCCCCCCCCCCCCCCCCCCCCCCCCCCCCCCCCCCCCCCCCCCCCCCCCCCCCCCCCCCCCCCCCCCCCCCCCCCCCCCACCCCCCCCCCCCCCCCCCCCCCCCCCCCCCCCCCCCCCCCCCCCCCCCCCCCCCCCCCCCCCCCCCCCCCCCCCCCCCCCCCCCCCCCCCCCCCCCCCCCCCCCCCCCCCCCCCCCCCCCCCCCCCCCCCCCCCACCCCCCCCCCCCCCCCCCCCCCCCCCCCCCCCCCCCCCCCCCCCCCCCCCCCCCCCACCCCCCCCCCCCCCCCCCCCCCCCCCCCCCCCCCCCCCCCCCCCCCCCCCCCCCCCCCCCCCCCCCCCCCCCCCCCCCCCCCCCCCCCCCCCCCCCCCCCCCCCCCCCCCCCCCCCCCCCCCCCCCCCCCCCCCCCCCCCCCCCCCCCCCCCCCCCCCCCCCCCCCCCCCCCCCCCCCCCCCCCCCCCCCCCCCCCCCCCCCCCCCCCCCCCCCACCCCCCCCCCCCCCCCCCCCCCCCCCCCCCCCCCCCCCCCCCCCCCCCCCCCCCCCCCCCCCCCCCCCCCCACCCCCCCCCCCCCCCCCCCCCCCCCCCCCCCCCCCCCCCCCCCCCCCCCCCCCCCCCCCCCCCCCCCCCCCCCCCCCCCCCCCCCCCCCCCCCCCACCCCCCCCCCCCCCCCCCCCCCCCCCCCCCCCCCCCCCCCCCCCCCCCCCCCCCCCCCCCCCCCCCCCCCCCCCCCCCCCCCCCCCCCCCCCCCCCCCCCCCCCCCCCCCCCCCCCCCCCCCCCCCCCCCCCCCCCCCCCCCCCCCCCCCCCCCCCCCCCCCCCCCCCCCCCACCCCCCCCCCCCCCCCCCCCCCCCCCCCCCCCCCCCCCCCCCCACCCCCCCCCCCCCCCCCCCCCCCCCCCCCCACCCCCCCCCCCCCCCCCCCCCCCCCCCCCCCCCCCCCCCCCCCCCCCCCCCCCCCCCCCCCCCCCCCCCCCCCCCCCCCCCCCCCCCCCCCCCCCCCCCCCCCCCCCCCCCCCCCCCCCCCCCCCCCCCACCCCCCCCCCCCCCCCCCCCCCCCCCCCCCCCCCCCCCCCCCCCCCCCCCCCCCCCCCCCCCCCCCCCCCCCCCCCCCCCCCCCCCCCCCCCCCCCCCCCCCCCCCCCCCCCCCCCCCACCCCCCCCCCCCCCCCCCCCCCCCCCCCCCCCCCCCCCCCCCCCCCCCCCCCCCCCCCCCCCCCCCCCCCCCCCCCCCCCCCCCCCCCCCCCCCCCCCCCCCCCCCCCCCCCCCCCCCCCCCCCCCCCCCCCCACCCCCCCCCCCCCCCCCCCCCCCCCCCCCCCCCCCCCCCCCCCCCCCCCCCCCCCACCCCCCCCCCCCCCCCCCCCCCCCCCCCCCCCCCCCCCCCCCCCCCCCCCCCCCCCCCCCCCCCCCCCCCCCCCCCCCCCCCCCCCCCCCCCCCCCCCACCCCCCCCCCCCCCCCCCCCCCCCCCCCCCCCCCCCCCCCCCACCCCCCCCCCCCCCCCCCCCCCCCCCCCCCCCCCCCCCCCCCCCCCCCCCCCCCCCCCCCCCCCCCCCCCCCCCCCCCCCCCCCCCCCCCCCCACCCCCCCCCCCCCCCCCCCCCCCCCCCCCCCCACCCCCCCCCCCCCCCCCCCCCCCCCCCCCCCCCCCCCCCCCCCCCCCCCCCCCCCCCCCCCCCCCCCCCCCCCCCCCCCCCCCCCCACCCCCCCCCCCCCCCCCCCCCCCCCCCCCCCCCCCCCCCCCCCCCCCCCCCCCCCCCCCCCCCCCCCCCCCCCCCCCCCCCCCCCCCCCCCCCCCCCCCCCCCCCCCCCCCCCCCCCCCCCCCCCCCCCCCCCCCCCCCCCCCCCCCCCCCCCCCCCCCCCCCCCCCCCCCCCCCCCCCCCCCCCCCCCCCCCCCCCCCCCCCCCCCCCCCCCCCCCCCCCCCCCCCCCCCCCCCCCCCCCCCCCCCCCCCCCCCCCCCCCCCCCCCCCCCCCCCCCCCCCCACCCCCCCCCCCCCCCCCCCCCCCCCCCCCCCCCCCCCCCCCCCCCCCCCCCCCCCCCCCCCCCCCCCCCCCCCCCCCCCCCCCCCCCCCCCCCCCCCCCCCCCCCCCCCCCCCCCCCCCCCCCCCCCCCCCCCCCCCCCCACCCCCCCCCCCCCCCCCCCCCCCCCCCCCCCCCCCCCCCCCCCCCCCCCCCCCCCCCCCCCCCCCCCCCCCCCCCCCCCCCCCACCCCCCCCCCCCCCCCCCCCCCCCCCCCCCCCCCCCCCCCCCCCCCCCCCCCCCCCCCCCCCCCCCCCCCCCCCCCCCCCCCCCCCCCCCCCCCACCCCCCCCCCCCCCCCCCCCCCCCCCCCCCCCCCACCCCCCCCCCCCCCCCCCCCCCCCCCCCCCCCCCCCCCCCCCCCCCCCCCCCCCCCCCCCCCCCCCCCCCCCCCCCCCCCCCCCCCCCCCCCCCCCCCCCCCCACCCCCCCCCCCCCCCCCCCCCCCCCCCCCCCCCCCCCCCCCCCCCCCCCCCCCCCCCCCCCCCCCCCCCCCCCCCCCCCCCCCCCCCCCCCCCCCCCCCCCCCCCCCCCCCCCCCCCCCCCCCCCCCCCCCCCCCCCCCCCCCCCCCCCACCCCCCCCCCCCCCCCCCCCCCCCCCCCCCCCCCCCCCCCCCCCCCCCCCCCCCCCCCCCCCCCCCCCCCCCCCCCCCCCCCCCCCCCCCCCCCCCCCCCCCCCCCCCCCCCCACCCCCCCCCCCCCCCCCCCCCCCCCCACCCCCCCCCCCCCCCCCCCCCCCCCCCCCCCCCCCCCCCCCCCCCCCCCCCCCCCCCCCCCCCCCCCCCCCCCCCCCCCCCCCCCCCCCCCCACCCCCCCCCCCCCCCCCCCCCCCCCCCCCCCCCCCCCCCCCCCCCCCCCCCCCCCCCCCCCCCCCCCCCCCCCCCCCCCCCCCCCCCACCCCCCCCCCCCCCCCCCCCCCCCCCCCCCCCCCCCCCCCCCCCCCCCCCCCCCCCCCCCCCCCCCCCCCCCCCCCCCCCCCCCCCCCCCCCCCCCCCCCCCCCCCCCCCCCCCCCCCCCCCCCCCCCCCCCCCCCCCCCCCCCCCCCCCCCCCCCCCCCCCCCCACCCCCCCCCCCCCCCCCCCCCCCCCCCCCCCCCCCCCCCCCCCCCCCCCCCCCCCCCCCCCCCACCCCCCCCCCCCCCCCCCCCCCCCCCCCCCCCCCCCCCCCCCCCCCCCCCCCCCCCCCCCCCCCCCCCCCCCCCCCCCCCCCCCCCCCCCCCCCCCCCCCCCCCCCCCCCCCCCCCCCCCCCCACCCCCCCCCCCCCCCCCCCCCACCCCCCCCCCCCCCCCCCCCCCCCCCCCCCCCCCCCCCCCCCCCCCCCCCCCCCCCCCCCCCCCCCCCCCCCCCCCCCCCCCCCCCCCCCCCCCCCCCCCCCCCCCCCCCCCCCCCCCCCCCCCCCCCCCCCCCCCCCCCCCACCCCCCCCCCCCCCCCCCCCCCCCCCCCCCCCCCCCCCCCCCCCCCCCCCCCCCCCCCCCCCCCCCCCCCCCCCCCCCCCCCCACCCCCCCCCCCCCCCCCCCCCCCCACCCCCCCCCCCCCCCCCCCCCCCCCCCCCCCCCCCCCCCCCCCCCCCCCCCCCCCCCCCCCCCCCCCCCCCCCCCCCACCCCCCCCCCCCCCCCCCCCCCCCCCCCCCCCCCCCCCCCCCCCCCCCCCCCCCCCCCCCCCCACCCCCCCCCCCCCCCCCCCCCCCCCCCCCCCCCCCCCCCCCCCCCCCCCCCCCCCCCCCCCCCCACCCCCCCCCCCCCCCCCCCCCCCCCCCCCCCCCCCCCCCCCCCCCCCCCCCCCCCCCCCCCCCCCCCCCCCCCCCCCCCCCCCCCCCCCCCCCCCCCCCCCCCCCCACCCCCCCCCCCCCCCCCCCCCCCCCCCCCCCCCCCCCCCCCCCCCCCCCCCCCCACCCCCCCCCCCCCCCCCCCCCCCCCCCCCCCCCCCCCCCCCCCACCCCCCCCCCCCCCCCCCCCCCCCCCCCCCCCCCCCACCCCCCCCCCCCCCCCCCCCCCCCCCCCCCCCCCCCCCACCCCCCCCCCCCCCCCCCCCCCCCACCCCCCCCCCCCCCCCCCCCCCCCCCCCCCCCCCCCCCCCCCCCCCCCCCCCCCCCCCCCCCCCCCCCACCCCCCCCCCCCCCCCCCCCCCCCCCCCCCACCCCCCCCCCCCCCCCCCCCCCCCCCCCCCCCCCCCCCCCCCCCCCCCCCCCCCCCCCCCCCCCCCCCCCCCCCCCCCCCCCCCCCCCCCCCCCCCCCCCCCCCCCCCCCCCCCCCCCCCCCCCCCCCCCCCCCCCCCCCCCCCCCCCCCCCCCCCCCCCCCCCCCCACCCCCCCCCCCCCCCCCCCCCCCCCCCCCCCCCCCCCCCCCCCCCCCCCCCCCCCCCCCCCCCCCCCCCCCCCCCCCCCCCCCCCCCCACCCCCCCCCCCCCCCCCCCCCCCCCCCCCCCCCCCCCCCCCCCCCCCCCCCCCACCCCCCCCCCCCCCCCCCCCCCCCCCCCCCCCCCCCCCCCCCCCCCCCCCCCCCCCCCACCCCCCCCCCCCCCCCCCCCCCCCCCCCCCCCCCCCCCCCCCCCCCCCACCCCCCCCCCCCCCCCCCCCCCCCCCCCCCCCCCCCCCCCCCCCCCCCACCCCCCCCCCCCCCCCCCCCCCCCCCCCCCCCACCCCCCCCCCCCCCCCCCCCCCCCCCCCCCCCCCCCCCCCCCCCCCCCCCCCCCCCCCCCCCCCCCCCCCCCCCCCCCCCCCCCCCACCCCCCCCCCCCCCCCCCCCCCCCCCCCCCCCCCCCCCCCCCCCCCCCCCCCCCCCCACCCCCCCCCCCCCCCCCCCCCCCCCCCCCCCCCCCCCCCCCCCCCCACCCCCCCCCCCCCCCCCCCCCCCCCCCCCCCCCCCCCCCCCCCCCCCCCCCCCCCCCCCCCCCCCCCCCCCCCCCCCCCCCCCCCCCCCCCCCCCCCCCCCCCCCCCCCCCCCCACCCCCCCCCCCCCCCCCCCCCCCCCCCCCCCCCCCCCCCCCCCCCCCCCCCCCCCCCCCCCCCCCCCCCCCCCCCCCCCCCCCCCCCCCCCCCCCCCCCCCCCCCCCCCCCCCCCCCCCCCCACCCCCCCCCCCCCCCCCCCCCCCCCCCCCCCCCCCCCCCCCCCCCCCCCCCCCCCCCCCCCCCCACCCCCCCCCCCCCCCCCCCCCCCCCCCCCCCCCCCCCACCCCCCCCCCCCCCCCCCCCCCCCCCCCCCCCCCCCCCCCCCCCCCCCCCCCCCCCCCCCCCCCCCCCCCCCCCCCCCCCCCCCCCCCCCCCCCCCCCCCCCCCCCCCCCCCCCCCCCCCCCCCCCCCCCCCCCCCCCCCCCCCCCCCCCCCCCCCCCCCCCCCCCACCCCCCCCCCCCCCCCCCCCCCCCCCCCACCCCCCCCCCCCCCCCCCCCCCCCCCCCCCCCCCCCCCCCCACCCCCCCCCCCCCCCCCCCCCCCCCCCCCCCCCCCCCCCCCCCCCCCCCCCCCCCCCCCCCCCCCCCCCCCCCCCCACCCCCCCCCCCCCCCCCCCCCCCCCCCCCCCCCCCCCCCCCCCCCCCACCCCCCCCCCCCCCCCCCCCCCCCCCCCCCCCCCCCCCCACCCCCCCCCCCCCCCCCCCCCCCCCCCCCCCCCCCCCCCACCCCCCCCCCCCCCCCCCCCCCCCCCCCCCCCCCCCCCCCCCCCCCCCCCCCCCCCCCCCCACCCCCCCCCCCCCCCCCCCCCCCCCCCCCCCCCCCCCCCCCCCCCCCCCCCCCCCCCCCCCCCCCCCCCCCCCCCCCCCCCCCACCCCCCCCCCCCCCCCCCCCCCCCCCCCCCCCCACCCCCCCCCCCCCCCCCCCCCCCCCCCCCCCCCCCCCCCCCCCCCCCCCCCCACCCCCCCCCCCCCCCCCCCCCCCCCCCCCCCCCCCCCCCCCCCCCCCCCCCCCCCCCCCCCCCACCCCCCCCCCCCCCCCCCCCCCCCCCCCCCCCCCCCCCCCCCCCCCCCCCCCCCCCCCCCCCCCCCCCCCCCACCCCCCCCCCCCCCCCCCCCCCCCCCCCCCCCCCCCCCCCCCCCCACCCCCCCCCCCCCCCCCCCCCCCCCCCCCCCCCCCCCCCCCCACCCCCCCCCCCCCCCCCCCCCCCCCCCCCCCCCCCCCCCCCCCCCCCCCCCCCCCCCCCCCCCCCACCCCCCCCCCCCCCCCCCCCCCCCCCCCCCCCCCCCCCCCCCCCCCCCCCCCCCCCCCCCCCCCCCCCCCCCCCACCCCCCCCCCCCCCCCCCCCCCCCCCCCCCCCCCCCCCCCCCCCCCCCCCCCACCCCCCCCCCCCCCCCCCCCCCCCCCCCCCCCCCCCCCCCCCCCCTCCCCCCCCCCCCCCCCCCCCCCCCCCCCCCCCCCCCCCCCCCCCCCCCCCCCCCCCACCCCCCCCCCCCCCCCCCCCCCCCCCCCCCCCCCCCACCCCCCCCCCCCCCCCCCCCCCCCCCCCCCCCCCCCCCCACCCCCCCCCCCCCCCCCCCCCCCCCCCCCCCCCCCCCCCCCCCCCCCCCCCCCCCCCCCCCCACCCCCCCCCCCCCCCCCCCCCCCCCCCCCCCCCCCCCCACCCCCCCCCCCCCCCCCCCCCCCCCCCCCCCCCCCCCCCCCCCCCCCCCACCCCCCCCCCCCCCCCCCCCCCCCCCCCCCCCCCCCCCCCCCCCCCCCCCCCCCCCCCCCCCCCCCCCCCCCCCCCCCCCCACCCCCCCCCCCACCCCCCCCCCCCCCCCCCCCCCCCCCCCCCCCCCCCCCCCCCCCCCCCCCCCCCCCCCCCCCCCCACCCCCCCCCCCCCCCCCCCCCCCCCCCCCCCCCCCACCCCCCCCCCCCCCCCCCCCCCCCCCCCCCCCCCCCCCCCCACCCCCCCCCCCCCCACCCCCCCCCCCCCCCCCCCCCCCCCCCCCCCCCCCCCCCCACCCCCCCCCCCCCCCCCCCCCCCCCCCCCCCCCCCCCCCCCCCCCCCCCCCCCCCCCACCCCCCCCCCCCCCCCCCCCCCCCCCCACCCCCCCCCCCCCCCCCCCCCCCCCCCCCCCCCCCCCCCCCACCCCCCCCCCCCCCCCCACCCCCCCCCCCCCCCCCCCCCCCCCCCCCACCCCCCCCCCCCCCCCCCCCCCCCCCCCCCCCCCCCCCCCCCCCCCCCCCCCCCCCACCCCCCCCCCCCCCCCCCCCCCCCCCCCCCCCCCCCCCCCCCCCCCCCCCCCCCCCCCCACCCCCCCCCCCCCCCCCCCCCCCCCCCCCCCCACCCCCCCCCCCCCCACCCCCCCCCCCCCCCCCCCCCCCCCCCCCCCCCCCCCCCCCCCCCCCCCCCCACCCCCCCCCCCCCCCCCCCCCCCCCCCCCCCCCCCCCCCCCCCACCCCCCACCCCCCCCCCCCCCCCCCCCCCCCCCCCCCCCCCCCCCCCCCCCCCCCCCCCCCCCCCCCCCCCACCCCCCCCCCCCCCCCCCCCCCCCCCCCCCCCCCCACCCCCCCCCCCCCCCACCCCCCCCCCCCCCCCCCCCCCCCCCCCCCCCCCCCCACCCCCCCCCCCCCCCCCCCCCCCCCCCCCCCCCACCCCCCCCCCCCCCCCCCCCCCCCCCCCCCCCCACCCCCCCCCCCCCCCCCCCCCCCCCCCCCCCCCCCCCCCCCCCCCCCCCCCCCCCCCCCCCCCCCCCCCCCCCCCCCCCCCCCCCCCCCACCCCCCCCCCCCCCCCCCCACCCCCCCCCCCCCCCCCCCCCCCCCCCCCCCCCCCCCCCCCCCCCCCCCCCCCCCCCACCCCCCCCCCCCCCCCCCCCCCCCCCCCCCCCCCCCCCCCCCCCCCCCCCCCCCCCCCCCCCCCCCCCCCCCCCCCCCCCCCCCCCCCACCCCCCCCCCCCCCCCCCCCCCCCCCCCCCCCCCCCCCCCCCCCCCCCCCCCCCCACCCCCCCCCCCCCCCCCCCCCCCCCCCCCCCCCCCCCCCCCCCCCCCCCACCCCCCCCCCCCCCCCCCCCCCCCCCCCCCCCCCCCCCCCCCCCCCACCCCCCCCCCCCCCCCCCCCCCCCACCCCCCCCCCCCCCCCCCCCCCCCCCCCCCCCCCCCCCACCCCCCCCCCCCCCACCCCCCCCCCCCCCCCCCCCCCCCCCCCCCCCCCACCCCCCCCCCCCCCCCCCCCCCCCCCCCCCCCCCCCCCCCCCCCCCCCCCCCCCCCCCCCCCCCCCCCCCCCCCCCCCCCCCCCCCCCCCACCCCCCCCCCCCCCCCCCCCCCCCCCCCCCCCCCCCCACCCCCCCCCCCCCCCCCCCCCCACCCCCCCCCCCCCCACCCCCCCCCCCCCCCCCCCCCCCCCCCCCCCCCCCCCCCCCCCCCCCCCCCCCCCCCCCCCCCCCCCCCCCCCCCCACCCCCCCCCCCCCCCCCCCCCCCCCCCCCCACCCCCCCCCCCCCCCCCCCCCCCCCCCCCCCCCCCCCCCCCCCCCACCCCCCCCCCCCCCCCCCCCCCCCCCCCCCCCCCCCCCCCCCACCCCCCCCCCCCCCCCCCCCCCCCCCCCCCCCCCCCCCCCCCCCCCCCCCCCCCCCCACCCCCCCCCCCCCCCCCCCCCCCCCCCCCCCCCCACCCCCCCCCCCCCCCCCCCCCCCCCCCACCCCCCCCCCCCCCCCCCCCCCCCCCCCCCCCCCCCCCCCCCCCCCCCCCCCCCCCCCCCCCCCCCCCCCCCCCCCCCCCCCCCCCCCCCCCCCCCCCCCCCCCCCCCCCCCCCCCCCCCCCCCCCCACCCCCCCCCCCCCCCCCCACCCCCCCCCCCCCCCCCCCCCCCCCCCCCCCCCCCCCCCCCCCCCACCCCCCCCCCCCCCCCCCCCCCCCCCCCCCCCCCCCCCCCCCCCCCCCACCCCCCCCCCCCCACCCCCCCCCCCCCCCCCCCCCCCCCCCCCCCCCCCCCCCCCCCCCCCCCCCCCCCCCCCACCCCCCCCCCCCCCCCCCCCCCCCCCCCCCCACCCCCCCCCCCCCCCCCCCCCCACCCCCCCCCCCCCCCCCCCCCCCCCCCCCCCCCCCCCCCCCCCCCACCCCCCCCCCCCCCCCCCCCCCCCCCCCCCCCCCCCCCCCCCCCCCACCCCCCCCCCCCCCCCCCCCCCCCCCCCCCCCCACCCCCCCCCCCCACCCCCCCCCCCCCACCCCCCCCCCCCCCCCCCCCCCCCCCCCCCCCCCCCCCCCCCCCCACCCCCCCCCCCCCCCCCCCCCCCCCCCCCCCCCCCCCCCCCCCCCACCCCCCCCCCCCCCCCCCCCCCCCCCCCCCCCCCCCCACCCCCCCCCCCCCCCCCCCCCCCCCCCCCCCACCCCCCCCCCCCCCCCCCCCCCCCCCCCCCCCCCCCCCCCCCCCCCCCACCCCCCCCCCCCCCCCCCCCCCCCCCCCCCCCCCCCACCCCCCCCCCCCCCCCCCCCCCCCCCCCCCCCCCCCCCCCCCCCCCCCCCCCCCCCCACCCCCCCCCCCCCCCCCCCCCCCCCCCACCCCCCCCCCCCCCCCCCCCCCCCCCCCCCCCCCCCCCCCCACCCCCCCCCCCCCCCCCCCCCCCCCCCCCCCCCCCCCCCCCCCCCCCCCCCCCCCCCCCCCCCCCCCCCCCCCCCCCCCCCCCCCCCCCCCCCCCCCCCCCCCCCCCCCCCCCCCCCCCCCTGAAAGTATGGCTGTGTTCTATGGCGAATAACTCAAGAAACGGTAAGAGGTAGAAACAAACTGTTTTTTTTCAGAGTAAAGCAGGAGAGGTGAATCTTTACATTTGGTGCCCCTTGGTGTTTACATGTCTAAAAAAATGAATATTCTGTGGCACTTCAAAGTTGGGTCTTTTCTTTTTTTTTTCTTAACATCACCTGAAATTGCTGGCAGAATGCACTTTCAATCTTGAAAATGCTGGCAGTCAGAGAGTTAAGGTAAACGTAGTGTATTTGACATGACGCCACAAATCCGTATTAAGTTGCATTGTACTGGTTTACATGGAAAAAACCCTATTAAGTTGCATTATACTGGTTTACATGGAAAAAACCCTATTAAGTTGCATTATACTGGTTTACATGTAAAAACCCCTATTAAGTTGCATTATACTGGTTTACATGGAAAAATCCCCATTAAGTTGCATTATACTGGTTTACATGAAAAAAAACCCTATTAAGTTGCATTATACTGGTTTACATGAAAAAACCCTATTAAGTTGCATTATACTGGTTTACATGGAAAAATCCCTATTAAGTTGCATTATACTGGTTTACATGGAAAAATCCCTATTAGGTTGCATGATTACACTGAAGTCCTTGAAACTGCTGAAGTCCTTGAAACTGCTGAAGTCCTTGAAACTGTTGAAGTCCTTGAAACTCTTGAAATCTTGAAACTGCTGAAATCCTTGAAACTGTTGAATCCTTGAAACTGTTGAATCATTGAAACTGTAGAAATGTCTGAAAGAGCTGAAGTCCTATTAAAATGCATGGGCCTATTAAAATGCATTGCAGAATTCTCAATGCAGATTTTTGTCCGATTGCGGAAAAACCGGAAATCGCTGAAGTCCCAAAAGTAATAGCAATAATCTCCCAAACATGTGGAACGTTTTGATGTATAACTTGTGGAAATTGTTGAAAATGTGAAAGCTGTGAAACGTGTCAAAAAAAATGACGGAATAAAGAAATACAAAACCAATGGTTGACTGCGGAAGGTTCCGCAGTCAATCAAATAGGGACAGCTTTAGGGTCAGAAGTTATAGGATAATAAAACCTCCATATCCCCCGGGGGGCGGGAAAAAGGGTACATTTGAACAGAAAAAAGCCAAGTATTTAAAATGTGGATTCTGTATATAGAATAATAATGATCTGATTAATGAGGAAAAAAAGGAGCCACTTGGCTGTAAATACGAGTTTCATGTGAAGAAATGACAAAAGATCAGTTCTGGGAGTTTTTCTCTTATTCTGATGTAATGTTTAATAGTTACAGAGAATCAAAAAAACAAAAAAAGATTCTGCTGGAACTCTCGATACATTAATCAGGTAGACAAATGGTAATGTTTTCATTACTGTGTTACCTGTTTTTGTCTTTTTTTCCTGGAGTTTTGCCACAGACAACTTTAACAGAATGGAAATGATTAACTGGTCCCTCAACGCAATTGATTCTATCTTTTCAACACGTAAGCGCGGGTCTGGAGAGCCCGTGTGCCCGGACGGGACTTCACCAGCGGGGTATACGCTTGACAGCTGGAACAAGTTTCAGCCCCTCTGTCTGTCGACCCTGTCCATTGAAGATTCGGAAGACGTATATATCTTTGGCATTTTGGTGGTGGGGATCCTCCTGTTTGGGTTTGGAGCGGTTCTCTTCTACCACAAATTCGGAGGCATGGCAGTTCGCAAGATTCACGACCTGCTGGCCGAAAAAATTGATGGGATGTACAAGGAGCTTAACCGAGTCGTGGTTGAGAGCGCTGTGGCTGGACAACGAAGAGTGGTGTTAGTGGAACAGTTGATCAAAGATCTCGCAGCTCGTTCACTTGATGGTCATAAGACTCTGGAATTGAGATTGAATGACATTGTCTGCCAGGCTTGAACTCTCTGACCCGGCTTGGATTTGCCCCTGTGTACGGGGTCTGAGGGCGCTGTAATTTGGTCTAATTGGATTTAATAGAATATCTGCCTGTTTTTGACTGCTAAACTGCATACAATATTGTCCCTCGTTACAGGAGATGTGTTCTCTCCCTATTGTGTCTTCCCTCCTCTCTTATCTCACATTCCTCGGGCCAAGGCCATCATAATAAATCTGGTCTCTACAAAAATTTCACACTCTTTCAGTCTTCCAGTTTGGATCCCGCTCCCCCCGCCTCCCTCTGATCTCTCCCTCCCCTCCCCTCCTTACTGTGTTTCCGACTCACCCCCTCCCTGACCCCGCCCCCCTCTGACAGCCACATTGGACCGGCAGGCCGGAGGTGCTCATCCCGTGAAAAAAATCCGTGGTTTATACAAAGCACAATGTTTTCTATCCAACTGTCTGTTGTTACCTGAATGTTATTGCTCTCTGCTGTTTCTTGCTGCACACAGCGCCGCAAATGGCGAAGTGGCACGCTCTCTGCCAAGACAATTTCCAAGTGATAACTTTGTTACTCACGTGGCAATAAAAATGATTCTGATTCTGATTCTGATGATTACTGACGTATTTAAATAAATGTAAAGTGTCGTTTGACGTGAGAAAAACTTTTACCACTGATTAAAACCTTGTCACGATAAAAACGAGGAAAATGTAGCAAAAGGGGGTGTATTTCAATCGTCCATGTTTTCCTTTGTTCGAGAAGCCACTCAGCCCCCTCCCTCTTTCTGTCTGTTCTCTCTCTCTCTCGCGAAGACAGAACTATTACCAAATATTTTTTGTAGAAAATTACATTTATACACATGATAATGTTACTGACATGGAGTCATATGATCACAGAACTTTGAGTTAGATTATAAAGAGGCATTACTTTTTTATCTCCAAGGCGTCTGGACAAGTTTTTTTTTTCCCTACATTTTGGTGATATAAAAGTTAGAATGATCTTAGAGAGCATTATAATTTTGGAAAAAATAGGGCTTAGGATAGCAGTTGAATGCAGAATTCGGTTTTCAGAATCTAATGTTTAAAATGTTAATATTAATTATTTCATAGGTTTATTTAGATTTGTAATTAATCATTGGTTTTGTATGGTAATTAACACACTTGTTTGTGCTTCTTGTTTGTCTGTTTTTTTTCTGAGGAAAACTTCTGTCTGTTTCATTGGCCAAAATCCTCCCCCGCCACAAGCCTCAACGGAGCGTCTACTAAAAGGGACCATCAGCGTCTCCCCCGTTTCACCCACAGGGGGCACCAAAGACAGCAGCATCGGCTGCAGCAGCTCGAAGAAGACTCCTCCATTCCTGTGAGAAGGCAAAGAAAAGACCGCAGACTTTTCACAAACTGAGTGCTGACCCATCCACGGAACAGAAGGTGGCGGTAATGCGAAAAATAGGCCGCCAACCGCCGGAAAAAACAAGAAGAAGAAGGACACGACACATTTGTGTGCGTCAAAAATGAGACAAAGAAGACATGAAAGAAAAAGACATTGCAAGGAGAAGAAAGTGATTGAAAGAAGAAGAAAGACATTATGAGAAAAAGTTATCGGAAGAAAAAAGAAAGTGATTGATTGAAAGAAGAAGAAAAAAGACATTGAGACAAAGACAGTGGACACCATGAGACAAAGACAATTGAAAGACGCCATAAGAGGAGGACTGGAGGGCTAAATGAGACAGACAGAAGGTATTGTATACAGACAGGCAACAAGCGCACCAAGACATTAAGGACATTTAGGTAATATTTACACATTTAGGTCATACGTTCAAAACACTACATTTAACTGCATGAATGATTACAAGACAATCGTCAAAATTATTAGACTCTTACTCTAGAATGTGACACAAGAAGATTAGAACAGCAGTATATTTGTGCATGATTTAGATGAGCTTTATTATTAAAACTATTATTGTTATTTAAAGTTATAGTCGCGGAGAAGTTTAGAATTATTGATTTTGACTGCATGATCTTGGTAATACGGATATTTAACGCAATTTTTCAACCTCTGAACCGTGGCTCGTTTCTCATTTAAAAACAATCACATGCACAGATGAAACTGGTGCTAGAAAGAGAACTGCAGCTTTTAATGGACGTTGCATTTAGTACAAAAGTGGTTTGTTCAGACAATCAAAAAAAAAAAAAAAAAAAAGTCTGAAAAATAATATAGAGTATTTCTAAATCTTGGCTAAAGGTGATATTGGACCATTTTTGATGGCACACTAACGCACCACGGTCCATTGGTTGAAAACACGGATGTAGAGACATTTTATGAAATCTTTTATGACATGTTTCTCTTCCAAATAGCTAAATTAGAAACAATTAGGACAATTATGTCTTTGATACAACTGTTGGTAGTTTATCTGAGACATGATTGGTACAAGTACGTCAACACACGTAGAACAATGGTCTTTTCTCCACATGAACGTGAAACAAAGGTGAAGTATTAAAGTTTGAGACTAATTTACATTTTTAATGAATCCGACCTGGCTTTACTAAAAAAAAAAAAAAAAAAAAAGGAACAAACATTTATTGCACGTGCACGACTTTTAAAGTAACAAGAGCTCATTAAAAATATAGGGGACACAGTCTGTGGGAAGCCTGAGCAAAGACCACGTGGTTTAAACACTAAAGTTGGAAATGGATCCTTTTAGGAAAAATCTCTTAAAGCTCTGCATGTTCTGCAGGCTCTGAAAGTTGCAACAATAAAATAGCTCATGAGACAATTGTAATTGGACATGGAAAAATATAACAAAGTTAAAATTACAGGCCTCCTGTGTTGTCTATATGTTTGTGTGTGTTATATGTTTGTGTATGTTATATGTTTGTGCGTCATGTCGAGTACACTACGTTGACCTTAACAAACTCTGGACCAATATACTAACGTGTTGTGAGTGTGTTGTGAGTTTGTTGTGAAATGAGGAGTGAACGAGGAGTGCTGAACGGAATCATAAAATAACAAATGTTTTTCTGTAATGTTTTAATGTGATCATGGAATAATTATTTTTTGTCAACAGCACACGGTGTAAGTACTAGAGATTCAAAGAGAACAAGCTTTATTGAACAGGTGTAAAAGTGAGAGTACTCTGGGATGAGTACTCTGAGAAAGTACTCTGCGGAAAGTACTCTGAGATGAAATACCTTGCTGAAGGTACTGGGAGTCCCTCCCTCTGCTGTTTGTCCTGACAGTGATTCGGTCCAACCGCAGTGAGCGGTCATTGGGCGGAGGACAACTTTGGTTTGTAACTCACATTTAGGGGAGTATAAAATTAGAAACATACATATTGTTAAGTCTGTATTTGGCTACAGCCCCTGCCCTGATGTCACACACCGTCTGTCAATGTCGTTATGTTTTGCCCAAATTGGAAAAAGATTGACAGGCTGCACCATGCGAAGAGAGGGAAGTGGGCATTTCTTGTGTTCTAATGTTTCTTTTTCAGATAAAAGATAAAACTACCCCTGCTTCGTAGTATGGATCATAAAGGAAATGAGCCTCTACGTTGGCACCAAAGCCCACAATACGAATTGAGGACGATCCGTGAGGGAACAACTGGAGATGATTAGAACAGTAATCTACACACACACAGACACATGTTTTATACTTGGCCCATGACCAAGAGAGGGAGTATGGTAATGTTATTGTCATAGGTGGTCATGGTCCTTAACCTTCTAAATCATTAGAAAGAAGTGTAAAACATATATTTACAAGAACAAATAAATAATAGAAAGGGCAGCCTAAAAGCAAAATGGGAAAATTATTAAATAATTTTTGGAGTTGCCAAAATAAAATAAAATTCTTTATTTGTCCCATAGGGGGTCATTCTAAATTTAGTGTTGTGCAAATTCAAAAGGAGAAATAATAGCGCTTATAACATCAAACAGATCTACCCTTTAAGATAATGGTAGAATAGAATAGAATGAAATAGTCTGGAGCTATAATGTCATTGGATTCAAGGAGCTATAGGTTAAAAGGTCGCTAAGAAGAGGTGTCAGAATAAACAATAGTAATAATAGTTAGACTAGTGAATAATCAAAATAGTGAAAATAAGTATCAATAAGGTCAAATTGTTCTAATAATTAGAGTAAAAAGGAATCAAATAGAGTCAGATTTTAGATGCTTCTGTTTTCCACATATGTAGGATCTAGTGCAGATGTGTTTATAGAGAGTAGTATTAAAATACAGACATAGAACGACAGGCGTTAACACATTTTTAATCTAAAAATAGCCCAAATATAACATTGCTTTTGATGAAGCCTCTGAGCTGCTCCATTGGAGAACAGGTTAAATGTTATTGTTTATTACAAACAGCTGATGTATTCACACATATTAAGTTTGGGACAACTCTTTAAACAGTTATAAGCAGCGGACAGAAGCCATGAATGTGCTTTTGTTTATCAAATAATTAATTTCATAGCCATATAATCGTAGAGGACATTTTTAAAATAGTTCTCTTCCTCCCGCTCCCTTTCAGGCAACTTGATTTAGATGTATGTCTTTTATATTGGAGAACTATTGTGTTGTTTTTGGAATTGTCTGAAATACAGTACATAAAAATAGTGATTTGCAGAACAACAACCAGCCAATGAAAATTCATCTATTGCCGATGCTATTGCTACAACTAAAACCACAACTGTGACCAAATGCAATAAATGTTAAGTGTTCAGTCTGGCAGACAAAAAGGTTGACTTTTAGTCTGGGAGACTGAGCAACTGTTAAAATGGTTTAAAATAATGAAGTATGAGTATTTTAGCGTTTTAGTAGATGTTAAATAGTAGGAAAAAGTAGAATTTGATCATTGTTCATAAACAAACTTCAGCGTAAGAGTTAAAATGGTACCATACAATGTGATCCTTACTGTTAGAATCAGAATTATTTTACAGCCATTGAAAGTGACACAAGTCACAAATTGGAAATATGCTTTGGCTCAAGCTACAACCGAGCTTTGGAGTCACAAGAGTAGAAAATAGATAGATGCTTTCAAAAATGGAGATTATTTTTAGACAGGGCTAAAAATCAAACGGTAAAAGGATCATTTCCTTCATAATATGTCCAAAAGTATTTACTTCAAAAGTAGATAAAGTTCATTACAGTTCACGCACAGTTCTATTAGATACTTGTCAAATTCACTTGTTTCAAACATAGGTGAATGTTGACAATGCAAGAAGTTCATGAATGAAGCTTAGATTAATGAGATAGATTAATGAGATAGATTAGAACCAACACAGATTCAAAAGCATTTAAAAGCATTTTAATGTATTTGGGTATAGCACAAAAGTAGATATTTAGGTATTTTTGAGAATTTTAAGAGCTGTCGATTTGTCAGCAACAGATTA